CGTTACTGTAATTTCGTTACTTTTTTGGTAACTTGTAACTGTAACGAGTTACTTTTTTAAAATGTAACTTGTAACTGTAGTTCTATTACTTTTTTCTGAGGTAACGATGAAAGTAACGACGTTACTTTTGTCGTTACTTTCCAGTGTTTTATGAACAATATATCACTGAACGAGACTCGACGTACAATTCAGATTTTCCTTGCACTTTTCAAAACGTCTATTCCGACATTTCGAGTGTCAAGTTTACCTTGCACAAACTTGTGAATACGTCCTTTCTCACGAGTCACGAACCGCATATGGCCACGTGCAGACTTCATGAAAAAAAAAATCTAGTTATCGTTACGCACGCGCTTGAACTTTGTAACTGAACACTTAAGGCTCGTTCACACAGACCCATTTTCTTACGTTTGCGCTACGAAAAGTCACCGGAAAATGTGTGCTTCGTATTAAGCGTGGCTACCAGTTCAAGGAAATAGCCTGGCATGCGACATTCGAGACGCGAATATTTTGGTGACTTAGATGTTACGTAAGAAAACGGTGCTGTGTGGAAAGTTGAACCAAGCTCAATTCCTTACGTTACGCTACGACATTGAGGCACCCTAGTTACGACGAGCCTTGTGTCCTTGGTTGCCACGGTAACTCACCATCGTAGCTCGTCGTCACCGAAAAATTCGTGTCGAATGTCGCGTGCCAGGCTATCTCCTTGAGTTGGTAGCCACGCTTAATACGAACCACAGATTTTCCCATGACGTTTCGTAGCGTAACGTAAGAGAACGGGTCTGTGTGATCCAGCCTTCTGTGTGTACGAGCCTTTACATCTTAGTGTCTTGAAGCACTATCTACGTTTTTGGTTTTTCTTTTACACGCGGAAGGCACTGCGCATGTTTCGTATTTTGATTAGCGCCAGTACTCCGCACTGCGCATGTTTCGCATTTTGATTGGCGCCACTACTCTGGCGTGGAAATTTTCAAACACTAATTTCGAGAATCAACTTCTACCAAGTTACAATATGAAGTAAAAAGCGTACTTGTAACTTTATGCAATAAAACTTGGTGAAGGGCATTTTCTAGTTTTTCCTACTTTTTTTGTGTTATAGAAAAGTAACTGAAAAGTAACGTCGTTACTTTTTAAAAGTAACTGTAACTGTAACGAGTTACTCTTTTGTTGCGGTAACTGTAACGGTAACTTCGCTACTTTTTTCTGAAAGTAACTGTAACGAATTACTTTTTAAAAGTAACTTACCCAAGACTGCCACTATACTAACGAGGAGAGACGGGAATAGCGGGACGGGAACTCTAGCGCAGCATGGACGTTTCAATAAAGTAAAACAAAAAACTGGGTGTAAAAAAAAAAAATATGCTCCCCGTCGGGGAATCGAACCCCGGTCTCCCGCGTGACAGGCGGGGATACTGACCACTATACTAACGAGGAGTTTTTTTTTTTTTATTTCTTTATTGCAGCAGGAATTCAAAAACGGTCATGTCACTTTAAAAAAAATGCTCTGCAAGACTTATTGCAGGGTACATTAAAATCCTCGCATTTCGAGGAGCGGTTTACAAATTTCTAGCCACTCGGGTTTCGTTTTGCGGTTTGAAAAAACACTTTCCACTTGCTTAACAAGGCTGAAAAAATAATGATGCACTTCTTTCACACTGGGGTCGGCATGATCGACCGCCATGCGCGACCTCCAAATACTGCATAAACCCAACAACATAATCATATCAAAAGGTATGCCATCATCGTTACTCACATTCAAGAAACGTATGACTGATTGGCTAATGCACAGTTGTTTCTTCAACGTGCGCTGAAGCACGTCCCAAAAAAATACCGCATCCCAGCAAAAAATGAAAACGTGCTCGATGGTCTCAGGCTTCTTACATAAAATACAGTCTACCGACCACGGAACATCAATACCCTTTCCTTCAAGCCACACCTTAACGGGCAGTGTATTGGAATGCAGTTTAAAGAAGAACGTTTTAACGGAAGGGGGAACGCACATATTCTTCACTCGCTTGAGCACATCTTGGCCCCCGCTACAGACTACAGTTCTATACAACGGGTCTGGAAACAAACTTGTCAATAAATCGCGTGTAAGCGTTTTCTTGCTAACAGCGGACAAATACTCAAAAGAAAAACGGGCAGACAAAAATAACACTGCGTCTACCACCTCCTTTTGATATCCCACTGATCTCTTAAGTTCGCCGCCATGGGACGAAACAAGAAACGATGGCAAATGAGGAGACAATTTGGTTTGTATAAACGTACGTATGAAAGGATGCTCTTGGTCTCGTAGAAAAAAGAATCGGGACACAATCTGTCTGCAAAACAAATGCGAGAGACCGAGACCGCCGTGACGAATCCGATGGAAAAGATTGTCTCTCCTCATCGGCTCCCACTTTGAATTCCAAATAAACGTGGCAAAAACACGGTGAAATTTCTGCACATTCAAGCGAGCACAATGAATGGCCTGCATCACGTGCCATAATTTTGCAATGAGAAAAATATTACATACTGTCGCTCTGGCAAATATGGACAGCTCACGCTGCTTCCAACGGGAAGCGCGTCTGTCCAGGTCGGCGGCGACTCCCGACCAATAGGATTTGCTTTGCCTGTAACATTTTAGTGGCACACCGAGGTAAGTGCACGGCACACGGTCCCAACACACCCCTTCAAACACCGAAGGGGTTGTGGCCCACTCTCCGTGCCAAAACCAACGGCACTTGCTCAAATTTATGGCTGCCCCTGTAGCCTTACAGAAGTCTCTTGCCAACGTCACAGCCGCGCTAATACTTGGCTTATCGCTACAAAAAACCGCTACATCATCTGCATAGCTCATGACTTTTATCTCCTCATTTTCCATCCGAAATCTGTGACATTGCTTGCTGTTCTGAACACTTAAACAAAAAAGTTCCAAATAGAGGTTAAACAATAACGGCGACAAGGGACATCCTTGTCTTACGGATTTTCGCACACGTATCGGTTCAGTCAACTCCCTGTTCACAATGAGCCTAGTGGTACACTCTTGGTACGCCCCATTTTAACCCCGTCCAAAATACGCTCGCCCACATTCACGTGCTTTAAAACATCAAAAAGGACATCGTGCTTAACTCGATCGAAAGCCTTATCTAGGTCCAGTTGAAGCATGGCAACTTGGCCCATGCCATCGTCACACGCCTCCAAAACAGTTCGGGCAACGTGCACATTCGTCAAAATAGATCGACCCTGTATTCCACAGGTCTGATGATCTCCAATGAGCTGGCAGGCAACACTCTGGAACCTCCTCGCTAGGATTTTAGCAAACATCTTGTAATCTGCATTACACAGAGTTATCGGGCGGAAACCAGTGACTTGACGTAGTTTCGCAACGTCATCGCTTTTGGGAATTAACACAGTGCATGGACGTGAAAAATACGGCGGCCGTACTTTCCTTTCGTATGCCTTACAAATGACTTCTAAAAAAAGCGGAGCGATTACGCTCTTGTATTTCTTATAAAATTCGGCGCATAGCCCGTCCGGTCCTGGCGTTTTCGATCTCGGCAAATCGTCTATTGCTCTCTCGACCTCTTGAAGAGTGATCGGCTCTGTGAGGTTTTCCTTCTCCTCTTCCGTTAGTTGCGGCAGGGACTCTAGAAGTTTTCCACACATAGGGTCCTGCCTTCCTTTAACTTGGGTTTCAAAAACTTGCCTATAGTGTGCGACAAAAGCCTGCTCAATACTACTGGGGCTCGTGTTAATCACTCCGTTGTACTCGATTTCGCCAATTTCGTTGCGAAGCGCGAACCTTTTCTCATCCGCCAAAGACCGTTTAGTAGGCTGTTCTCCCATCAAGTACTTCTCTGATCGAGCCCGAACAATGGCTCCGCGGTAACGCTCTTGATGAAAATGCGCCAGGCGTTGCTTAACCGTTTCCAAATCTTTAAGAGCTGTGCCGGGTCGCTCACACTCAGCTCTTGACAGAGCTTGCAAATCTTCGATTAAGCCACGTTCGTCGCAACGCGCCTCGTACGCTAAAATCGACGACCTTTCGATAGCGAGCATCTTCACTTCCTGTTTGATGAGCTCCCATGTCTCGAATATATCGTCCCTTGCGGTTTTAAAAAACGTTTTGAAGACGTTAGTTACCGCTGCAAGAAAACTTTCATCGTCAAGCAGTTTTGTGTTAAGCTTCCACAGATTCCAGTTAAACTTGGCCTTGGGCGGCGCTTTTTCGCCGATCGTTGTCGAAATCATGCAATGATCCGAAAAAAACACTGGTGTGACGCGATACTTTCTTAACATTGCTGCCGCGGAGGCCGATACGTATACTCTATCGAGGCGCGCATGAGACGACGCTTGGAAATGGGTGAAACGAATCTCGCTCGTTTCATTCGTCACCGTTCTGGCGTCAACCAAGTCAAAGTCTTCAACCAGTTCGCTTAAAACTTGCGCACTCTTGTCGCTGCTCCGCCTCAGGGGCGTCCTGTCTGCTGCCCTTACAACGCAGTTAAAATCGCCCAACAACACAATCGTTTTATCACATTCTGGAAAACGGCGTACGCCAATAAAAAAGGAAACACGGTCTTTAACCGTACTAGGCGCATACACACAAACAATTCGCCACTGAAAAGACGCCAAGGAAAAATCGCACATGATGATCCGCCCTTCCGTGTCGGTGGTTACAGCTAACTCCGACAAGGGCAGGGACTTTTTAAGAAAAAGAAAACATCCGGCAGAAAAACCAACCGCGTGGGTGACACAAATTTCGTCCGACTGCAGAAAAGGCCTAAGCGCACTAGCAAGCTGTTCCTCCTCAGCCATTTTAGTCTCTTGCACCGCTAAGAAATCGGGTTTCTCTTTAAGCAGCAAACGCTGCAATTGGTATTGTTTTTTCCTGGCGCTCAAACCTCGAACATTTAGCGATGCGACCGTTATTGCTGGTTGGAACGTACAAATCATGCGTTTTGCTGTAGCACTTGCCTTGGCATTCGGACGTCAGTCTTTGTAACCAGGCGTTAGCCGCCTTACTTGGTGTTGAGTCGCCTCCGGTCATCTGGGGTTAAGGTGGGCGTGGGCTGGAAACGCCCCTTCTTTGTCCTCTCCATCCAAGGGTTGGGCCTGGGTGTCATGCCCGGTGTCGATGGAGGGTTCTCGTCGAGGCCACGCTTGATGGACTCGGTGGTTTCGTCCATAGTGTCGTGACCTTCGGAAGGCGCCTTCTCGGAAGTCGGGGGGGAGGCCTGGCGTGGGGCTACGGTCTTCTCCATTGGCGTCGCCGTGGGAGGGGGTGCCGCGCTGCCTGGTTCAGGAAGGCCACCAGCCACCTCCTTCTTGTCCTTTACAGGCGAGACTTCCGTCGAGCCGTCCGCTCCAACAGGATGGCTGCAGGGCTCACCAGACGGTGAAGCTTCGTCTTGTTGTCCCTGAGCGGAGCGCTCAGCCTCGTCGATATCCATGGTCAGGGGCGAAAGGTCTTCCGCCGCCGCTCCACCAGTTACTCGGGCGTAGGTCTTTACGCACTCCTCTTTCTCGTGGCCGAAACGTGAGCACACCGAGCACTTAGGCACGCGGCAGTCGCGCCTGATGTGCCCGGCACGCTTACAGCGCAGGCAGACCGGCGCCCTCCCTGGGATTACGATAAGGACGTTCGCCCCCTGAAGCTGCAGCTGGTGAGGCATTCCGTCGGGCGTGACGCCGCTCTTCAGCGTCATGCGCGCCACCCGGGTAGTCGACTCGATGCCCTCGAATCCCTCGACGCGCCACTTCTCACGTGCGACTTCTATAACCTTGCCGTAGGGTTCCAAAGACTTGCTCACCGCGTCGTCCGTCACATGACACGGGACCCAATGGAGGCGTAGACGGACTTCCGTGCTGCTGGGGTCGATGACCACACACCTCAGGTCCTTCACCTTCAACTCCTTGGAGTCGATGAGCCGCTTCTTGGCTTCCGGCGTTCGCAGCGTGGCTAACCAGACGTGGTTCATCTGGAAAGCACCGAGCGCCACAATCTCGGACAGAACGGCGCACCGCTTCAGTTCTTGCCGGAAATCTTCAATACGATAGGGGCGGCCTCTCAAATCGCAGTGCAAAGGTACTGAATTTAAAATAGTTGCACCCATTGGGATGGGAGGCAACACCACCTTGTAGTCGTCGGTAGACGATGACGCAGCAAAAGTACCGCGGCCAACTGGGGCCGTTGCCGGAGCTCCGTTGGAGCCAGCCATCCTGCGACCGTTCTCGGCGAGTGCCAGAAGCAGAATCTTATACTAACGAGGAGAGACAGGAATAGCGGGACGGGATTTCTACCCCCAGCATGGACTTTTCAATAAAGTAAAAAAAACAACTGGGGGTAAAAAAAAAATTATGCTCCCCGTCGGGGAATCGAACCCCGGTCTCCCGCGTGACAGGCGGGGATACTGACCACTATACTGACGAGGAGAGACGGGAATAGCGGGATGGGAACTCTACCGTAGCATGGACTTTTCAATATAGTAAAAAAAAAAAAAAATGTGGGGTAAAAAAAAAATGATGCTCCCCGTCGGGGAATCGAACCCCGGTCTCCCGCGTGACAGGCGGGGATACTGACCACTATACTAACGAGGATTTTTTTTTTTTCTTTATTGCAGGAGGAATGCAAAAACGGTCATGTCACTTTAAAAAAATACTCTGCAAGACTTATTGCAGGGTACATTAAAATCCTCGCATTTCGAGGAGCGGTTTACAAATTTCTAGCCACTCGGGTTTCGTTTTACGGTTTGAAAAAACACTTTCCACTTGCTTAACAAGGCTGAAAAAATAATGATGCACTTCTTTCACACTAGGGTCCGCATGACGGACCGCCATGCGCGACCTCCAAATACTGCACAAACCCAACAACATAATCATATCAAAAGGTATGCCATCATCGTTACTCACAGTCAAGAAACGTATAACTGATTGGCTAATGCACAGTTGTTTCTTCAACGTGCGCTGGAGCACATCCCAAAAAAATACCGCATCCCAGCAAAAAATGAAAACGTCCTCGATGGTCTCAGGTTTCTTACATAAAATACAGTCTACCGACCACGGAACATCAATACCCTTTCCTTCAAGCCACACCTTAACGGGCAGTGTATTGGAATGCAGTTTAAAAAAGAACGTTTTAACGGAAGGGGGAACGCACATATTCTTCACTCGTTTGAGCACATCTTGGCCCCCGCTACAGACTACAGTTCTATACAACGGGTTTGGAAACAAACTTATCAATAAATCGCGTGTAAGTGTCTTCTTGCTAACAGCAGACAAATACTCAAAAGAAAAACGGGCAGACAAAAATAACACTGCGTCTACCACCTCCTTTTGATATCCCACTAATCTCTTAAGTTCGCCGCCATGGGACGAAACGAGAAAAGATGGTAAATGAGGAGACAATTTGGTTTGTATAAATGTACGTATGAAAGGATGCTCTTGGTCTCGTAGAAAAAAGAATCGCGACACAATCTGTTTGCAAAACAAATGCGAGAGACCGAGACCACCGTGACGAATCCGATGGAAAAGATTGTCTCTCCTCATCGGCTCCCACTTTGAATTCCAGATAAACGTGGCAAAAACACGGTGAAATTTCTGCACATTCAAGCGAGCACAATGAATGGCCTGCATCACGTACCATAATTTTGCAATGAGAAAAATATTACATACTGTCGCTCTGGCAAATATGGACAGCTCACGGTGCTTCCAACGGGAAGCGCGTCTGTCCAGGTCGGCGGCGACTCCCGACCAATAGCATTTGCTTTGCCTATAACATTTTAGTGGCACACCGAGGTAAGTGCACGGCACACGGTCCCAACACACCCCTTCAAACACCGAAGGGGTTGTGGTCCACTCTCCGTGCCAAAACCCTCGGCACTTGCTCAAATTTATGGCTGCCCCTGTAGCCTTACAGAAGTCTCTTGCCAACTTCACAGCCGCGCTAATACTTGGCTTATCGCTACAAAAAACCGCGACATCATCTGCATAGCTCATGACTTTTATCTCCTCATTTTCCATCCGGAATCCGTGACATTGATTACTGTTCTGAACACTTAAACAAAAAAGTTCCAAATAGAGGTTAAACAATAACGGCGACAAGGGACATCCTTGTCTTACGGATGTTCGCACACGTATCGGTTCAGTCAATTCCCTGTTCACAATGAGCCTAGTGGTACACTCTTGGTACGCCATTTTAACCCCGTCCAAAATACGCTCGCCCACATTCACGTGCTTTAAAACATCAAAAAGGACATCGTGCTTAACACGATCGAAAGCCTTATCTAGGTCCAGTTGAAGCATGGCAACTTGGCCCATGCCATCGTCACATGCCTCCAAAACAGTTCGGGCAACGTGCACATTCGTCAAAATAGATCGACCCTGTATTCCACAGGTCTGATGATTTCCAATGAGCTGGCAGGCAACACTCTGGAACCTCCTCGCTAGGATTTTAGCAAAAATCTTGTAATCTACATTACACAGAGTTATCGGGCGGAAACCAGTGACTTGACGTAGTTTCGCAACGTCATCGCTTTTGGGAATTAACACAGTGTATGTACGTGAAAAAGACGGCGGCAGTACTTTCCTTTCGTATGCTTTGCAAACGACTTCTAAAAAAAGCGGAGCGATTACGCTTTTGTATTTCTTATAAAATTCGGCGCATAGCCCGTCCGGTCCTGGCGTTTTCGAGCTCGGCAAATCGTCCATTGCTCTCTCAACCTCTTGAAGAGTGATCGGCTCTGTGAGGTTTTCCTTCTCCTCTTCCGTTAGTTGCGGCAGGGACTCTAGAAGTTTTCCACACATAGGGTCCTGCCTTCCTTTAACTTGGGTTTCAAAAACTTGCCTATAGTGTGCGACAAAAGCCTGCTCAATACTACTTGGGCTCGTGTTAATCACTCCGTTGTACTCGATTTCGCCAATTTCGTTGCGAAGCGCGAACCTTTTCTCATCCGCCAAAGACCCTTTAGTAGGCTGTTCTCCCATCAAGTACTTTTCTGATCGAGCCCGAACAATGGCTCCGCGGTAACGCTCTTGATGAAAATGCGCCAGGCGTTGCTTAACCGTTTCCAAATCTTTAAGAGCTGTGCCGGGTCGCTCACACTCAGCTCTTGACAGAGCTTGCAAATCTTCGATTAAGCCACGTTCGTCGCAACGTGCCTCGTACGCTAAAATCGACGACCTTTCGATAGCGAGCATCTTCACTTCCTGTTTGATGAGCTCCCATGTCTCGAATATATCGCCCCTTGCGGTTTTAAAAAAACGTTTTGAAGACGTTATCTACCGCTTCAAGAAAACTTTCATCGTCAAGCAGTTTTGTGTTAAGCTTCCACAGCTTCCAGTTAAACTTGGCCTTCGGCGGCGCTTTTTCGCCGATCGTTGTCGAAATCATGCAATGATCCGAAAAAAACACTGGTGTGACGCGATACTTTCTTAACATTGCTGCCGCGGAGGCCGATACGTATACTCTATCCAGGCGCGCATGAGACGACGCTTGGAAATGGGTGAAACGAATCTCGCTCGTTTCATTCGTCACCGTTCCGGCGTCAACCAAGTCAAAGTCTTCAACCAGTTCGCTTAAAACTTGCGCACTCTTGTCGCTGCTCCGCCTCAGGGGCGTTCTGTCTGCTGCCCTTACAACGCAGTTAAAATCGCCCAACAACACAATCGTTTTATCACAATCTAGAAAACGGCGTAAGCCAATAAAAAAGGAAACACGGTCTTTAACCGTACTAGGCGCATACACACAAACAATTCGCCATTGAAAAGACGCCAAAGAAAAATCGCACATGATGAACCGCCCTTCCGTGTCGGTGGTTACAGCTAACTCCGACAAGGGCAGGGACTTTTTAAGAAAAAGAAAACATCCGGCAGAAAAACCAACCGCGTGGGTGACACAAACTTCGTCCGACTGCAGAAAAGGCCTAAGCGCACTAGCAACCTGTTCCTCCTCAGCCATTTTAGTCTCTTGCACCGCTAAGAAATCGGGTTTCTCTTTAAGCAGCAAACGCTGCAATTGGTATTGTTTTTTCCTGGCGCTCAAACCTCGAACATTTAGCGATGCGACCGTTATTGCTGGTTGGAACGTACAAATCATGTGTTTTGCTGTAGCATTTGCCTTGGCATTCGGACGTCAGTCTTTGTAACCAGGCGTTAGCCGCCTTACTTGCTGTTGAGTCGCTTCCGGTCATCTGGGGTTAAGGTGGGCGTGGGCTGGAAACGCCCCTTCTTTGTCCTCTCCATCCAAGGGTTGGGCCTGGGTGTCATGCCCGGCGTCGATGGAGGGTTCTCGTCGAGACCACGCTTGATGGACTCGGTGGTTTCGTCCATAGTGTCGTGACCTTCGGAAGGCGCCTTCTCGAAAGTCGGGGGGGAGGCCTCGCGCGGGGCTACGGTCTTCTCCATTGGCGTCGCCGTGGGAGGGGGTGCCGCGCTGTCCGGTTCAGGAAAGCCACCAGCCACCTCCTTCTTCTTGTCCTTTACAGGCGAGACTTCAGTCGAGCCGTCCGCTCCAACAGGATGACTGCAGGGCTCACCAGACGGTGGAGCTTCGTCTTGTTGTCCCTGAGCGGAACGCTCAGCCTCGTCGATATCCATGGTCAGGGGCGAAAGGTCTTCCGCCGCCGCTCCACCAGTTACTCGGGCGTAGGTCTTTACGCACTCCTCCTTCTCGTGGCCGAAACGTGAGCACACCGAGCACTTAGGCACGCGGCAGTCGCGCCTGATGTGCCCGGCACGCTTACAGCGCAGGCAGACCGGCGCCCTCCCTGGGATTACGATAAGGACGTTCGCCCCCTGAAGCCGCAGCTGATGAGGCATTTCGTCGGGCGTGACGCCGCTCTTCAGCGTCATGCGCGCCAGCCGGGTAGTCGACTCGATGCCCTCGAATCCCTCGACGCGCCATTTCTCACGTGCGACTTCTATAACCTTGCCGTAGGGTTCCAAAAACTTGCTCACCGCGTCGTCGGTCACATGATACGGGACCCAATGGAGGCGTAGACGGACTTCCGTGCTGCTGGGGTCGATGACAACACATTTCAGGTCCTTCACCTTCAACTCTTTGCAGTCGATGAGCCGCTTCTTGGCTTCCGGCGTTCGCAGCGTGGCTAACCAGACGTGGTTCATCTGGAAAGCACCGAGCGCCACAATCTCG